GAATACACTGTACCTTTTCAGGTAGGGACAAGGTCCATTTAATACCTTTTCTGCCTTGATTTTGGTGCGCTACTTCTTGTGTGAAATGCTGGCTAACACTGGCATAAAAAAATACTGTTCTGCATGTAGAACGACACGCACTTTAAGATTCACTGTGCTGTTTCTAGGTTTCTTGAGGTCCTGATCTACACTGAGAAAAGCTGCTGAAAGAAACTGCTTTTCTACAGGTTTTGGGATACAAAGCTGACAACTTTTTATAGAACTGATTCCAAAAAATATCTTTTATCTTAAACTGAACAAAACTAGACACAGTTAAAGTATAGTCTGGCAATGATTTATCTGTTTTATGATAGTGGATTATTAACAAAACCTGGTACAAATAACAGGAGATTCAGAATATAAACAAAAACATCAGTCTGATAAATTAATGAGAACAAAAAAATTTGGAAGTTCACATTATCTTTTAGAAGATTTTTCTTTGACATAAAACCTCACTAAAATGGCATTTCATTCATAATTTCTTACAGAACAAAACCAGTTAAACAGTACAGCAAATTGACACATTTTTCTTTTGTTCAAAGAAAAATAACATATAATAATACAAATAATTATAAAAAAATTGTCTACAGAACTAGTTTCTTCAGCTAAGGAGAACAGATGAAGATTATACAAGCATGAACTTCAGACAGCAAGGAGATGAACAACAACAGCTTCCACGGCAGCTCACAGCACTGTAATTGAACATGCAGATATTACTACTTTTAAGTACTACCATAATGCTTAGACTATTATTAACTAATAGCGGACGGAGTCTCCATCCTTGAAGATATGAAAAAGCTGTCTAGACATGGTTCTGGGTAACTGGCTCTCGGTGTCCCTGCTTGAGCAGGGGGCTTGGACAAGATGACCTCCAGAGGTCCCTTCCAACCTCAACCATTCTGTGACTTAGTGAACTATATTACCTGTATTAACAAATTACGGTAAGAGCTGTTCTGTACTACTTCTATGGGTGCTCACAGTGACACTAGTGATGCTAGAGGCTTTCTTCCTTATGCTTCGAATTTCCGGAAACTGTAACAACTTTTGGAGCTAAAAGTATCTGTGCATAGAAGAGGTCTGTGCAACTACAGGCACATCAGCCTTCTTTATAGTATCCAGTGATTTATCATTTACTTTGAATGTTTAAAGGCAAGCAAGTACACAGAAAATGGGATACAATGAATCACTGGTAGATCATTCCAGTTTATTCTATTAGTCTCCTTTCATTTTTTTAGACAAAGGAAGTAGAACAGTTCTAACCTACCCGGGCTTCAGTAAAGTATTTGAAAGGGGGATGACAACTGGGTAAAGTTTAGGATTTGAGAGATGCTACTTGCAAAGACCTTCAGTCATAGGACTGTTCTGATTCATATTTCTTTCCAGTCTACTTAATGATGTTCATACAAAAGTAGTTTCAGTTGTTCAGTATTTCTGAAATTACTGAAACTAGCAGGTAGCACAGAGGTATGCTCTACAGAAAGAACTGGACAACCATGAAGACATTAATATTTGAAATGAAGTGAATTTTGGCAGTATGACATGCAAGAGCATGCATTTAAAAAAAAAAAACAACCAAAAACCAAAAACCAAAAAAATCCCAAACCAAAACACCAAACCAACAAAAAACAACCCCCAAAAAACCGCAAGAAATTAAAAAAGGAGGATAAAGATCTGGATATATTAACAGAGTGTAAGACGACTTTATGTAATCAGTATGTGATAGCTGTGGAACAGAAGAAGCTTATTTAGGGTATACTGATAGACTGTAGGTTATGGGTATTTTCACTAGAGGCAGGAAACGAAAGAATGAGGCACATGTGAAACCTCTTCTGGGATAATATATACATTTAACTCTAGTCATCCATTCCCAAAAAGATTACTTCAAACTGAAACATGAAAGCAGAATGTGATCAAGATTAATTCATTTCTGATGAATAATAGCTCAAAAGGAAGAAGGGCTGTTTCAGATAACAAAAGCAAACAAGTATAAACTGGCATGGAACTAGAACATCAGAATACTTCTTGCAATTCAAAGACTGAAGTTCAGGAATAGTTTTCCAAGCAGCAGTGGAACAAACCCCCGAATTAACTAATTTTAAAATATAGTTTAATCAATTTATGAAAGCAATTATATGATACGGCTGCATTTGACAGCCAGGACACGGACACGGAAACTCAAGTAATCCTAACTTGTAAGTACTCCAAAGGGTACTTTGAGATAAAAAGTGGGGTGAGATTGGAGTCCAGGATAGGAAGGATCTGTAAAAGTATACAGACATTTTTGCACTCTGATTTGCATGTTATGCAGTTCCATTCAAATGTATCTGCCTTTCCTTTCAGCTGCACTGGTTCACATTCTTCAAATTTAATACTTGAATCAGTGTAAGGCATAATATAAGCTTGGCTTATACTATAACACATATCATCATACTTAACAAAAGATGTTCTTTCTTTAATAAAGAGAATACCAACTTTGAGGTCTGCCTCTTGAGGCATGTTGCTAAGAAAGGTGTCGCTTTACATCAGCATGGTTACTTCAGAAAAAAAAAAGCAGTTTATTCTGGCTTCTGAAACTGTAAACCCATCATCTCTACTATCCAGCTATTTGCTTGTTCAAAACAATGGAAATGGAAATTGCTTTTTTCTTTAAGACAATTATCTCCTACCAAATGGCTATTTTAGTGTGTTTTTTTTTCATTGGGGTTTTTTTACTACTTTACTATTCTACTTTGTATTTTATTATTTTTCTACTATGATTAACAAAAATAGGTCATAATTTTTTGACAAAACAACAGAACTGACAACACAGAAGGAAAGAAAAAAGAAAAAACTGCTTCCATACTAAATCTATGAGGTTTTAAATTTCTTATTAATCCTTTACTTAGCAAGCAATGATAGAAAATGTAGCAATATTCAGCAGTCAGAGTTCTTGGCTCCACTATGACCAATGAGCTAACACAGCAAAATTTCCTTACTTCTGACCAGTCCAAAGCAACCCACTGTGGGGGACAGGACTGATTGTTACAGGGCTCTTTTTCAATAGGCCGGTGTGTTAAACAGTTGGTATTGTCCAGTGTCTCCTCCTCAGAAGGTCCAATCTTTCTGATACAGAGAACTGTTCGTGAACGCATTCCTCCATCACAGGTCTTACTGCATTCTGACCAATCTCCTATAAACCATCTGGACAGAAGAAGTTAGGAGATTCAGTTAATGCATTTCAGAAACAGAGCAGATAATTGCACAAACCCAGAATCCAAATAGTTTAAATTACTAAACCTATATCATTATTAACAAAACACGTATTCACAGTGAAATAAAGTAGAAACTTATGGGTCTTTTTACTGACCATTTTAATTTATGCCTCACTGCAATCATATCTTCCAATAATAATACTAGTCAGTATTTCTCTAGAGCAGCAATTTCCAGCCTAGGCTATAGTAGTTAAAAAGGAGTGTTGAGCCTGACAAAACTGCAGCTATTTAAGTAGATTTGTACTGGACTTGCCTGAAATTATTTTGCTGAAAGTGGTTTGCAACTGGAAATGTTTGGGAACCACTGCTGTAGGTTACAGCACAAGTTAAAAGCCAAGACGGTTGCCTCTCTAGTATCATTACAATAAAATAATTTGATCTCAAAAACAGGATTTCTGAGAGTTAATTCTCATTTGATTATGAAACATTTCTAAACTTTTTTATAAAAGGCTATACTGAAATGCAAAATATTCTTATTTACTAGAGTAAGTAAAGCTAACACTAGTAAAATAAAAATTCATCACATAGAAAAGACGTCAACAAATGTTTTAAAAAATTTAAAGCACTGCATGATAGCTGCTAAAGGGAACTTCTGAGTGTTTGCGTGCACATGGTAAAAGTCAGGAACTGTACAGTATATTTAGATTACTTTGTGTTGCCACAGAGATTAAAGCACCTGTTAATATAGCTGTAATGTTGGTTTTTTTTCCCCTACTGATGAATGGTTAGTGCAGCTCAATTCACTGGAAATACCTCTTCACATTGTTGAGCACATTTGGTCTTCAATATTTCATATGTTGATAAGATACACTCGCCTGAACCATCCTTGCAAAGGATGAAGGTGAAGTCTAGTATGCTATCGCATGTTGCCAACATGCCAAAAATGCCAGGCATGTCAGTCACTGTGGATGTTCCTGGAGGTATGCTCGGAGCAGCCTCGTAAGATTTGTCGTTTTCTGAAGCCTATGTCAAAAAAAATGTGCCGCTATCCTGTCTTGTGTTACAGAATGTGTAATATATTCTAATATGAACCTAGATCAATGTATAGATGCAAACAAACATGCCATGTTCTGTCATTAATTTCCCAGCAAAAGAGAATTAATTTACAATCCTTCGCCACCAAACTTATGCTTTTACCACAATAAGGAGAATTAGAAGCTCTTCAAAGCTTTGGAGAGGCTGAAGTGCTAATTTTTAGTTGGTACTATGACTTGCTCAAGTGCATTCTCAGGTACCTTTTATGTTTATACTGTATAACAAGGCAGTACTATTCATAATTCACAGAACTATGAGAGTTACCTGTATCATTTCTTGAAATTTGGAACTTTAAGAGTTACTTATTGTAATAACAAACAAAATATTGTGAACAAACACAGTCTTCGCTGCTGCTTAGGGACATCAACTATAATGTAACTGGCATTCACTTAGAAAGAGTAACATTTTCATAACTTTTGGTATACACCACAAGGAAAGGGGAATTGTGTTAATTAAAAAGGGAAATATTTGGCCACTCTCTGTAAAGAGTAAGTCTTACTGGGTGATAAATCTTTCAGCCAAAAGGGTCAAATTTCCTTGGGTAACTATCTGTTATTTGAACGGCCTTCTTCTAGACTACTTAAAGGATCAGGAATCAAGAACCCTCCCTTAGGAGTCTGGCATTTTGTATTCACCCTATGGGGAACATCAGAAGGGAGGCAGATGTCGGCTGAACTGCTCTGACATATTCAAGCAGATGTTACTTAATATACACTGCCCACTTTCCGAATCTCGATGACTTAAGTTTCACCATGTTCATCAACGTCCCTGCTGTACTGCATGGAAAATCGAGAAGTGCCCCGCTTTGTGGGTTGGGTTTTTTTCTTGTTTTTGTTTTTTAAATAATGGCAGTGCAAAACCCCAAAATTAACCAGTTTGGAATAACTATGTTAACACTACTTTTTAAAGTGCTAATTTGTTCATAGGTAAGCCACACAAAGGAAGGGATAGGGATGTGTTTGGTAGAAAGGAACTGACCAAACATGACCGCTTCCCAACTTCTGCTCTCAGGTACATGGTGTGAGAGTTTAGTTAGTGCACTTATAGCTATGCTAAACTGTTATCCAAACAGAATCCAAGTGCGTATCCTTTCAGGGTAAACATATATTTACATATAGACTGTGGGGACAATGATTTAGACCTACTTTAGACCTGTTTGTGAGACAGCGCATTCACATTCAAACACATTCAAGGTGAGAGCAGTGTAATGGCTTCATTTCTGTTTATGTCAAATGAGTATGGTACATGACACAGGGGGAGTAAGTGTAGAAGACACTGCTCTGCCATTCTGCAACCAGTCACCACAACAGGGAAGCAGTTGATACTCTAGGAAGAAACTGGCTTCATGAAGACCTGTTGGGATTTTAATGCATTATAGTCTTGTCTCATTCCTCCCAGTGTCCTTCAGGCTACAATTTTACAGTTTCTAAGAGACATTTACAAGAGACCACAGTATTTCTTTATATCTACATTTAATCAGCATTAATGATTTTCATGCCCAATTAGAACACAGCTACAGATTATCACCAAACTTAAACTAACCAGAGCTTGTGAATCAATAAACCGTTGTATCTCTTCCATTTTTCCACAAGTTTTATTTGTCTCAAAACATAAGGAGCTGTTGTGCATATGCTGAAATTATTTTCTAGTGCAAAATATCATAACTGTTTCTAAACATCTTTTGTAGTAAGATTAAGCTATGTTGTAGGTCCTTGCCAGATTCCATTTTTAAACAAATGAGCTGCTGTGGTTTTAATTATCTTTTCAAGATACAGCATACAGCTATCTTTAAAAATAAAACTAAATAGACATAACCAAGTAGGCATCTAATCCTAAAGGCACACAGCATTACTGTACAGCACTGAGTATCCTAGAGAGAAAGTTGTTTGACAAAACTATTATTGGTAAATGGTTTGGCCTACTAAGCAGTTTCTGTGTTTGCCATTTCTCATGTGAACACTTCAATCCACATTTTAATATACTTAAAAATACGGCAAACATTTAACATATGTAATATAAATATCTAGGGCAAAGTTAGTCTCACCTCAAGATTCTTCTGTCATTGTTGCCTTAAGAATGGTCCCCAGTTCTACTCTGAGCACTATTCACCATATCCGCCACTTACACCCCAAGAAACTGCTTTGCTAGTATCTTTTCACTTACAATGTCTGAGCTGCTTTGTGTAGTTTAAACACCACTGTTCCTCAGTCAAATCAGGCCTCCTCTAGGTCAAAGTATGTATTTTCCACAACTGATTTCAGAGGAGCAAGAAACAATCACCAAAAACCAAACCCAAATATCCTGTCTGGTAAGACAGGACCCTAATACTAGATCAGAATTTTATACACATTTGGTCAACGACTTATTATAGATTACAGAGACTTTTCTATCTAAGCAAAACACATGTCCATCTTAGTGATTAATTACTTACTCAGGTGGGCAAGGCTCAGTGTTGCAGGCTCTTTGGTTTTCTGGAGGCTTACTGTCAGGGTCACAGTAATTGTTTTGTACAATGGAGTTGTCATCCAGCCTTTTACACACCACCTCTTGTTTCTGCACACCTTGGGATGAAATGAAATACCATTAATTAATCATTCTTGCTCTTCTACTTGTTGAGTAGAAGTGTATTTCAACTATTGATTATTAATCCTTCCATCCCACTTTAATTGGCTGAATGCTGCAGGGGTGTGAATTCCAGTTGACTAAGTGCTCCCTGACCACAATGAATCTTTCATTTTCCTTTAATTTTAGGCCACCCCTCTGAGAGAGGATTTAAAATTGCTGTTGTCTTCTAAAACAAAGGGAATATATTTACAGATTTACTAACAGATTGTTTTTATTTGTTTATTGCACAAAATCCATTTTCTGTCTACCCTCCTCTCCTAGTAAAAGACAGTTAAATTTCCAAAGAAAACATCACCAAATAGAATGTGGTCACACTTCAATGCAGAATTATTGTTTATGTGCTTTTGTTTAAAATAAACCAGCAATACTGGGAAACAGTGTTGCATTTTTATACATGTCGTCCTATAAATATTTTCTTCATTAAAATAATAGAAGTATTATTCATTCTGAAAGATGCAGTTTGTCTCTGTGAACGCTCATTTTGTCTGGCACTCCCAGCTCCTCTTTCACTGTTAACCACCAACAGGGCAGTTTAGAATTGATTATTATTCCCAAAACATAATGATGTGTCACTGCCAAGGCAACATTATAAGGTAGCGTATTAAGCAGATTCTCTGATTTTTAAAAAACAGGATCTGAAGAAAGGCATTAAAGAACCATTGGTATGACAACAGTGCAGCTCAGAGTATTGTTGTGAAGAGCAGTACACATGGCCTCCTCCTCTCTTTTTAGAACAAGCTGTATGTTTGCTAGCATAAAAAGACTGTGGACCTGCAATTCATATGCAGTTCTTATTGAACATGAGTAGCCATAACACTGAAATAATAGGATTATTTGTATGATAAAAAATTGCAAAAAGCCTCGAACTTCTCTTAAAAACAGAAGCAATTATTGAACTTTTTCCAAACTGTGAAATGCATACAATTAAATAGGGATTAAAACATCCTGGCTTCAAATATCTGCCAACTTTACTTTACAGCCCTCTCTTCATTTTAAGACAAGCTTTTTATAGGAGGTAGACATGCAGTAATAAAATTAATTATATAAATATGTTTTTCAGACACTAAACATCCCACCAAAAACATGGGATGTCTCTCACCAAATATTTGTAGTCCTTTTGTTCATTTTAAACAAACTAAACAACTTACCTTGCAATTGCTTCTTTTGTTATTCATTATGGACTAGAATCAAATCTCCTACTTTGGTTCCTAAAATGCGACCTATACAGAATTCACGTATTTAATTGTAACAGTGAGTCAAGCCTAGCCTTGAGATGCCTGAAGTCTGGCCCACGAAGCGTCCTGCTTGGCTATGAACAGAAGTCCCCCAGTCTTCACACAAAGGCATGTGAAACGTCTTCATGATATTACGTGCAAAGGACATGGGGAAAATTGTATCCCCCTTTTTCTTGAGTCCTGAGGATGGCATGCACTCCCCCATGAGGCTGCAGATGCAGGAGTAGGTATGATCCCTTCTCACCCTGAGGGGATTCCTAATTCCCATGAGCACACCGTAACTTCTGTGACTTAGTGGTTAATTTAGCTAAGGTGGCAACACTGTAGTTTCTAATCTGTAGATTATTTCTACTTTTTATTCAGTTACAGTCTGATGTAAAATGTCTAAACCATCTTGAGAGCAAGGATGAAAATCCATACCTGCCTGTGCTAGATGAATGTCTTATTTTCTGGTTACAGATTAAACCCCTTTCTTGTCTTCCTGCCATGGGCCCCATGAATCTTGCATCCTTGGCTGCACTGTGGCCCAGAATGCTT